AAAAATAAGAATGGAAACACGATACAATCAATTAAAAATTAGAAACAATCAATTTAATGGCAGTTGTTTAGTATATTGACATTAACTATCGAAAGAGGGGGCTTTTCATTATTGAAACTTTACTTGAGAAGTTTTTTCATTAAGTTTTTAGTTGAAGAATTTTTTCATTGAAATCTTTTAGTTGAAGGGTTTTTACATTAATAATTTAGTTGAGGGGTTTAAAATAGATCAAACAATACTTGAATGGTTTTATCATTAAAAACCTTAAAACAGAGAAAAACTAGATGCTATCATGCTTCTCTTGTTCTCCATTTAACCAAGAACTCATTATTTATTTTAAAAAAAAGAGAGCTTAGAAAATTTTAAAAAACAAACATGTCTAAAGTGAATTCTAGAATATTGGAAAATATATTATTTGGATATTTTATAGAAAATATCACAATATATGTCACCTTATATAATAGAAAAAAGTTAATAAAAATCCATATCAATTCATGACAATCAATACCAATCCATAAGAAATTTATAAAATCTCATAATTTTTTAAATCCATGAACCCTACACAAATTCATGAATAAGGGCCCCTAGTTTTTGTTTGGTTCTGATATTGATCTAGGGTTGGTTTAGCTAAAGGGATTTTCATTCTGTTCAGGTTCTGCTTCTCGCTTCAATGGCAAAGCAAGTTGGTGAGAAGTTTCCTTGGGTAATAAAAGATTTTTCCTCTTTGACATGTAAGAAGTATTCTGATCCAGTCCTGATCGGTGACTGCAAATGGTAAATAATCAACTTCGAGTGTTTTGTTTCATTTAGATTGATATATCGTCTATGGTTTTGGTTGGTCATTTGTCACTTTGCCTTTTTTTTTTCTTCAGGCGTCTTGCTGCCTATCCCCAGAAAGTAACGGTGTAAATCATTTGTCTCTGTTTATGGAAGTTGTTAATTATGAATCATTGCCTTGTGGATGGAGAAGATTCGTAAAATTTGGGCTTACTGTAGTAAGACAAGTTTCGGAAGAACCCTCAGTCACGAAAAGTGATTCTTGCTTTATTCATTTTGTTAACAGGTCCTTGTCAGTATTGCTAGATCATAGATGTTTCATTACTCGTCTAGACAAATGAAATTTCATATATTTCATGTATCTTTTACTATGGGTCTTGTTAAGCTGCGAGTTAGTAGTATCTTATAATGTGTTGTACAAGGTTTGCTAAAGGGTCTCGATATGAGTTGTGTGAGTGAATTATAGTGCAGTAAGGTTTTGTGCCAAGTAACTATTGTTCGATATTTGATTTAATGAGATGGTATCCTACAGAAGCACATCGTTGGTTTGATGAAAACCATACCGGCTATGTTTTTCATTCTACGATTCCCCTTGCCAAACTCCATGACGTAAACGAACGGTTTATTGTAAACGGAGAGCTTATGATCGTTGCCGAGGTAGATATTCTTCAAGTTATTGGCACCTCAGGGGAATCTGAAGAAACAAATCCTCTTAAAAATCTTAAGGTAAGATAATGGATGTCAATGAGTGTAAATTGCTAGCTTCACAAGTAACAATAGTGTAAATTCTCTTCTATATTATGACTCACTTTTTGGTATTATTTTACATGTAGAGTAAGAGCGTATTATACTTCTGTTTCTACTAGCAGGTAGAATCTGGGAGCTCTGTTTCTGAAAGACACCAAGACGTTGCAGTAGAGTTTCGTCTCATGAACAAAGATATGAAGAAAGCAGGCATGAATGTCTTGCTCAGCTTAACACAGATGCTGTTTTAAACACCTCAGGAGCTTTCCATTGATGATCTTGTCGAAGCAGAGAATGCAGTGGCTTACATGAAAAGTTCAGGCGTTAATGTGGATTGGTTGGCGAAAAAGCTCGAGGAAATCAAGGAAAATAAAGAGATTTCTGGTAGTTGAAGAAACTTACCATTTTTTTTTTTTCTAAATTGGATTTGATTGCATATGTAATTTTTTTATAACTGTTTTGCATATGTACTTGCTTTAAAGTTTAGAAGAAATTTGGAAAAATGCCTCTTTATCTTCTTAAATTTAAAAAATACATCTTTTTTTTTTTGAAAAATAGACTTTATTAAATATGAAATTACGGAAATACCCTAAAAAATCTGCACAACAAATGATAAATTATATATTTAAAATAAAATCAATTTTGTGATAAATCAATATATATATATCGTGACCAAAAAAAATTAATATATATATATATATAGATTTAGCTTATATTTTAGTGCGACCATATCTTTTACAAGCTCTTTCTTGGTTCTAGGGTTTTTCTTCTCTGCATGTTCTTGGTTTAGCTAAAGGGAATTTATTCTGTTCAGGTTCTGCTTCTCGCTTCAATGGCAAAGCAAGTTGGTAAGAAGTAAAAGATTTTCCCTCTTTGAAATGTACGACGTATTCTGATCCAGTCTTGATCGGGGACTGCAAATGGTAAATAATCAACTTCGAGTGTTTTGTTTCATTTAGATTGATATATCGTCTATGGTTTTGGTTGGTCATTCTTACTTTACCTTTTTTCTTTAGGCGTGTTTCTGCCTATCCCCAGCAAAGTAACAGCGTAAATCATTTGTCTCTGTCTCTGGACGTTATTGATTATGAATCATTGCCTTGTGGATTGAGAAGATTCGTAAAATTTCGGCTAACTATAGTAAGACAAGATTTACAGTATTTTCAAAAAAAAAAAAAAACTATAGTAAGACAAGTTTCGGAAGAACCCTCAGTAACGAAAGGTGATTCTTGCTTCTAGCTACTTTATTCATTTTGTTAATAGGTCCTTATCAGTATTGCTAGATGTTTCATTACTCGTCTAGACAAAGGAAATTTCATATATTTCTTGTATCTTTTACTATATGGGTCTTGTTAAGGTGCGAGTTAGTAATCTTAGAATGTGTTGTACAAGGTTTGCTAAAGGGTCTCGATATGAGTTGTGTGAGTGAATTATAGTGCAGTAAGGTTTTGTGCCAAGTTACTATTGTTCAATATTTGATTTAATGAGATGATATCCTACAGAAGCACATCGTTGGTATGATGAAAACCATACCAGCTATGTTTTTCATTCTACGATTCCCCTTGCCAAACTCCATGACGTAAACGAACGATTTATTCTTAACGGAGAGCTCATGATCGTTGCCGAGGTAGATATTCTTCAAGTTATTGGCAACTCAAATGAATCTGAAGAAACAAATCCTCTCAAAAAGTCGAAGGTAAGATGATGGATGTCAATGTGTGTGTTGCTTGCTTCACAAGTAACAATAGTGCAAATTCTCTTCTTTATTATGACTTCACTTTTTGGTATTATTTTACATGTAAGTTGTTTTCGGAGTAAGAGCGTATTCTACTTCTGTTTCTACTGGCAGGTAGAATCTGGGAGCTCTGTTTCTGAAAGACACCAAGACATTGCAGTAGAGTTTCGTCTCATGAACAAAGATATGAAGAAAGCGGGCATGAATGTCTTGCTCAGGCTAACACAAATGCTGTGTCAAACACCTCAGGAGCTTTCCATTGATGATATTGTCGAAGCAGAGAATGTAGTGGCATACATGAAATCTTCAGGCGTTAATGTGGATTGGTTGGCGAAAAAGCTCGTGGAAATCAAGGAAAATAAAGAATAAGAAAGAGGTTTCTGGTAGTACAATTCACAAACTGGAAACAAAAATTAAACTTTTTTTCTAAATTGGATTGATTTCAAATGTACTTGCTTCAAAGTTTATCACATTAAAGTCTTTTGGGTGAGTAGTTTCAAACTTTTAGATGTGTTAAGTTCATAAGGTAATCATAAATCTATATTTTGGTTTTACTTCTACAATCGATAAACTTAACATTAAGACCCATAAATGGAATCTAGAATGTGCATGCTTCAAGTAACCTTAGGATCCCAATATAGATAAAATCCAATGCGCATGTTCCAAGTAAGTACCATAGGACCAAAAGATGGATAGAATCCAATGCGCATGCTCCAAGTAATCCTATGATCCAAAGATAAATGAAATCCAAATTGCGCATGCTCCAAGTAACCATATGTTCCAAAGAGAGATAAAATCCAATGCACATGTTCCAAGTAACTCTAATACCTAAAGCTATTCTCCAAGTAACTCTAGGAGTGAAGGATAAAGAGAATTTAGAATGTGCATGCTCTAAGTAACCCTAGGACCCACAAATAGAATCCAGTATACGCATGTTCCAAGAAACCCTAGGAGGAGCGCATCCCTCGTGTATTTAATCGAAACTATTAGCATTTAGTAAAGACATGCGTACAATGAAGGCTTCGATTTCCATATTGGAAGCTTAAATAAGCAGCTCGAGATTGTTATTTGATTTCCGATAAAACAAATTGTGGTGTATGCCACTTAGGTTCTAGGGTTTTTCTTCCATTCACTGAGATCGATGGAGAAGAAAGTTGATAAGAAGTTCACTTGGGTGATAAAAATTTTCTCCTCTTTGCAATCTGAAAAAATTTATTCCGAGAAGTTCATGATCGGTGGCTGCAAATGGTAAAGTTTTCAAGTGTATTCGTCC